GATGTCATTTTATTTATTTGTCCTCAAAACAAACTTGCTGCCTGGAGTATCTCAAGGTTGGCCTGAACAGCCAGTTCCATGTGGAGGAATTACTGCTCTTTATGCATCTAAGCAGCGACACATTTCCTTTTGCAGAAACATCCTGCTCTCTACCTTCTCCCTCCACCTCATTCATTTTTCAGTGCTGTCACTGTATGTACCAGATCATTTTCTGTCATCTCTACTTTTCCTTTTGATTTAGAAAATGCCATTGTTTTTTGACTAAAAATACTAGAGAGTCCAGATATGTTAAGTGTGTTAGAAGTTTGAGCCACATTCTCTTGAATGTTAAAAAGTGGAAAGGAAACTTTGTTTGTGAAAATGGTCTGCGTTTCCTTTTTTCTCATGGGTGACTATATTCAAATACACCTTTATCTTCTTCTGCTACTGCAAGATTAAATGTCCCCACCACTTAACCAGGCCTTAATTGTCTGTGTGTCTGTGGGTAAGTTCCTTAGCCTTTCTCAGTGTCCCTTTCCTTAACTAATAAATAATAGAATATCTTCCTTGCCAATTTTCCTTCCTGTGGATTTGTGTGTAATTCATACATGCTCACACATTCTTGCTCAATACATCACTTGCCACAAGTAGCTTATGGTGGTAGTTTTAGGGAAAACAGTGAAGTAGCAATAGTAATTAAGAGAATAATGTCCATACTTTAATCCCTGGATTGTATACATACATGTACACACACAATTTTTGTATATTGATTGTTTCTTAGAGTTTTAATTGAATAGTCAGAAAAGAAGCGACCTTGAATTGTTTCCAAATGAGTGGGAAAGGTTAAAGTCTAAAACAAAAAGGACGATTTAAAGGAGATTGATTTCAGCAGTTCAATTTAGCAAATAAATATTGTACCTCTGTTGGCACACAGAACTAAGCTGAATATTATGGAGACACAAAAATGACACAAGATGGGATCCTTTTTCGGTGAGAACAAACTAATATTTGTAAGCAAATCCCTACATTTATACTTCTCATTTACAGATACTCTTACCAACACAGGAGTGGGATTTTGTACTGACTTGTCATTTGTGATTGAATTTTACACCATTCTTTATGAGTCTGTGAACAGAAAAGAGCATTCATTGGTCCTCATTCTTTTTTATGTTTCTGTGCTTAATAAATCAGCTCCTTGTATTTTATTCATTGACACAGTTAAGATTTAGTTTCTATTCTTCTTCCTCATCACTATGTCTGAAACAGCTTTCTTGGCACTTTTCTAATCTAAATCAAAATCAACACCAGAAACAAATTCAACCTAACAGACAACAGAATCATTTCATGTTTTAAAATTATCTGTTCAGTTTTTCTTTTAACAGGACACAATATGGCACTTTCAAAATAAAACAGATCCTTGGGTAGCAGGGAGAGAGAAACCCTTACCTGTGGGTTGCTGTAAAGGCTAGTCATTTAGGGTCAAAGTCAATCTGGACTGAGAGTCCCTGGAGAATTGCATCAACAGGCAACAAGCAAAAGTCCAATCATCTCAAATAATGAAATGTGAAGTATTAAGAAATAGAAGCTTAGGATGAGAAGAAAAAAAAAAGATGACTCTTCTCAGAAGAGCTTGACTAGATCTGAACAATACCCACTCCTTCTCATCAAATAAAGATGACATCCTTAACTTTTTGGAATACAAAAAGCCACTTGCTACCAGTCCTGAGAAAGGCTGGAAATCTAATCTCTGATGAGGCTCAGGGCCTCATGTCCTATCCAGTTGCTTTCCCTCTCATGGACACACCTGACATTTTTTGAACAATCTGAGTTCTTTTGACAAAAATTCTGTTTCTGATTTGGATAGCGAATTGAGGGAAAGATAGCATGCACAACGAGCCACCAGCGAGACCAAATTCTGAGCTATTCTTTAGAATTTCTAAAGTTAAAGTGCTTTATTGTTCTGGCTTCCCATATAGAATCTCTGGGCTCCTGCCCCATGGTGCGGGCTGAACACTAAATGCAACTTCCCTTTAAATTACACTGTCAGATCCAGTATGCGTGCATTGTGATTAATGGGGTCCCCCCCACGTGGTTCCAGTTTTCAGAGCATCATTTTTCTTCAAGATTGCATATTCCTTGGTGGTCCTTGCCTTTTCTTTCAAAAGATAGACATAAAATTTCTCTGTTACTGTGACTTCTGTTAATGATGGAATTCCACCTTAGATTTTCCTAATAATTTACACCTAAGTGTGTCAGCCACTGAACACACTTGAAGCTGCCTCTTGAAAGGAGCCAGCTGGAATTTCCACTTGAGCAGATGAGAAGGGAGTGATGATGTTTTTGTTTCTTTTCTCCCCGTTCCTTTTAACCTTCCACCTTTCCATCACCTTCCTGCTCCACCCCCTCCCAACCTCTACTCACTATTCTCAAGTTTCATTTATTTCCAGTGGATGGAAATGGTGACCTGGAATTCCACATGCTTGCCTACATTCATAGCATTTAGCACCTCATTGGTGTTTATGTGTAAACACATTGAGTAGCTTTTTATTCAAGTACATGTTACATGTACACATGGCTAATGACTATATATGGATGAGGTATATTCCTGTTGAAAACCCAGCATCATAAAATTCTCATTGTTCATGTTTGGCTGGAGATGTTATTTATGATACTTAAAAATGCTGCACACACTTGGAGTGTTTATTCTGGATTTGTTTCTGTGCATTGAAAATGTCTGGTACAGCTAAAGAATAAGAAAGGAGAGCCAAGAGGTGAAATATCATGAAAAAAATCTTGCATCCAGGCATAAGTCATTGCAAAAAAAATAAAATAAAACTTGGACAAAGAAATGTGACCGTGGGGTGAGGTAAAATGAGAAGAATGCAGACAAGGCTATCTCTCACCAACAGTGATTCTTGAGGCCGAAAAGCAAGTTGCTTCCAAGGTATTCATGCTTTAGAAAATAAGGGTGTAGATTCACCCATGATTTGAGGAGAGGTTAGAAATGCTTTTTTAATGACCTAACAGTCCTTCTGGTTATATTCAAAAGGATTGAAGATTTTTGCATACCCATGTGCGTTTTGCAGCACTACTCACAATAGCCAAGGTGTGGAAACAACCCAGGTGCCCATCGACAGATGAATGGATAAAGAAAATGTAGCACAATGGAATATTATTCAGCCTTAAAAAGAAAGGAAATCCCATCATAAGCTATAATATAGGTGAACTTTGAGGACATTGTGCTAAGATGAATAATCCAGTCATGAAAAGACAAATACCATATGATTCCGCTTATAGGGGTACCTAGAGCAACCAAACACATAGAAACAGAAAGTACAGTGGTGGTTGCCAGGGTGGTGGTGGGAGGGGGACAGAGAGAAATTGTTCAATGGGTAGAGACACTGAACAATACTGAACAGTGATAGTGAATAATACTATGCTGTTCACATAAAAACTGCTAGGAAGTAAATCTATGTTATATGTTTTTTAAAACAATAAAAGAACATCTTTTTTAAAGTTAGCAATGAAAAGTCCAGAGAGTGTCTTTTTTTTTTAAACTTGGTAGTAGGATTGGAACTGAGGGCTTCACATTTGCTAGTCAGGTGCTGTACCATAAACATAGAGGTAGGTACAACTCAGTTCACCTGTACCACCATATCTATATGATTCTATATATTTTTATTCATTGTCTGTCTTCTTTTATGTCAGTACTCAGACCTACCTGATAACATTAGAGGTGTCAAAAGAAGCAAAAGACATTAAAAACAGACAGTCTCTTATGTAATTAAATGGGCCAAGCTGTTGGTCTAATTCCATAAATGATGATAAAAGGTCCACTCGAACATCTTCATGTCACATGCAGGGTCCATCTCTCAGCTGCTATGTAGCACTTCTCCCAAATCAAACTCAACTCATCTTCACACAACTCTTGCAGGAAACACCTTAGAACACTGGGGCTTTTTTTCCACCATCTCTGTTCCCTTGAACTTTCTGGTGACCTTTCATGCCAAGTGCGTGGTGACATACTTGTCATGATGCCCAAGAAAGATTTGCTAATATCATTCAATAACTCCAGTGAGTTCGCTAACTCATCTCACAAGCCATGTGAATCAGGCCCAAGGGAGCAAGGATGGATGTATTCTTGTCCAGGAAGGAGGATTTTAAAAAGCTTGGTAATAATACAGTGGTTCTCAGGATCTGATTCCATAATTTTCTCTTGCTAAGGAGAATTTAAATTTAATTTTTGCCCTTCGTGAAACAATAATGAAACAAATGTTGAAAACCATTGCCCTTGCTGAATGGTAATGTTATTCAGCCATAGCCAAGAAAATAAAAATGATATTGCCCTCACATTTTGATTGCAAACATAAAATGGAAAAATAACCAATCTTCTTTTATAATGTACCAGCTGTAATTATATATGAAGTGCACTAGGCTCATCCTTGTGTTTTGAATCCATGTAAAATCTTAACATTTCTATGACTTCTAGATAGGTCCATGACCAAAGTTTCCTTCTATGGTAGTGCTTACTTTGGGCTTCAAACCTGCAGCTCTCTCAATGTAACAGCTTGAAGAGTGTAGGGACTGCATACTTTATTCTTCATATACAAATGCCAATTTCAGTGTTTAACCATTGATTCAGTTTGCTTAATTATTTTAAAATGTTAGGTCAATGAAATAACTTTAGTTTTTACCAGGGCTGACACTAGAGTGAAGCATGCAAGATGCCCACAGTGCAAAATTTAAAAGATACTGTACAACCTTTGTTTCTAGCCATTGGCTCACTCTAGTCCTATTTATGGCTTAACAGAAATGGAGTACAGTTTTCAAATTGTCCCTTATCAAAGTTGATGTACACAGGAGATTCTCTGAAAGTGATACGATCAGAAAAGAGAGGAAACAAAGAATTTAAAAAGAATCTTTCAACACCTCTCCATCCACCTTTCTGAGTAAATTTCTTCCTACCTGGCTATGATTCACATTGACTTCAACAGTCTAAGTTTCTCATTTCTGTCTTTTAGATCACTACAGACCTAAGGCAACGGTGCACAGACAACCACACTGGGACATCAGCCTCAGCCCCCATGGCTGCTGGCATCATCGCGCTGGCCCTGGAAGCCAAGTAAGCCTTCATCTCTATATGTCTTCACTGGTAACTAGCCCTGATCTCTAAGACAGTACCCTTCCCCTACATAGAGTCCCCAGCATAAAAGCCAGAAGACAAACTTCCCAGTCCCACCTTTAAAACATCAGTGATTTAAGCTCTTAAAAGATTTCAGCTGGATATGGTGGCCCATGCCTATAATCCAGCACTTAAGAGGTAGAGGCATGAGTTCTAGGCCAGCTTAGGCTACCTAGTAAGTTCTAGACCATTCTGTGCTACATAGCAAGACCGGGTCTCAAATACTGAGACTCCATCTCAAACCACAAACAAACGAAAGAATTCTCTATATTAAAAAGATAAGCTTTGGGGTTTATATATGCTTAAAAATTCAAGCTGTGTAATCACTTCATTATGGAATCATAGTATGAACATGCCAGCTGGCTCCAAAAGTCTTGTCTTGTTGAGGTTTTTATTCTAGTCTGGGAATGTTCCTGTGTGTCTCAGACAGGTTAGGTCAGCCTATTACTTGTCCTTTTCTCTTTAGCACAGCAACACACCTCAGATTCCATGACAACAGTACTGTCACAGAGTGACTCTGAAGGACAGAATATGCCAAGGTCATATGGCAGCACACAGCCCACCTATCTCAAATTCTGTTTCTATGTCCAAAAGATCACTTTGAAAGTCCTCCTTAAGCTATGTAAAACACACCTGTCTCCCCTTTCTCACAAAACAAATAGGTTAATTGGTCATAACCATTTCAAAATCTAATACAGATCTAAAATCTCATCCTCAACTTCAAAACTCAAATGCCCAGAAAATTGAAAGTTCCTTTGCCAATTGAACACCCAAATCCATTTGGTGGCAAAGCTTGTCCTACACTAGTTAGAGGTTATTTACATCTTTATTTATTCCTTTTGTTATGAAAATTCTTATGTTCACTGAAAAAATGTACATATATATGATTATGAGGTACTGGCCCAGATCCACTGGAGGTTTTATGTAACATATTTTTATGAACACCATCTCTGAAAAAAGTTTTCCATTCCAAACACATCTGGTGCAAGGATTTTAGAAGAAGGATTGAGGGCCTGTTCTCTGAGGCTCTCCCTATAGGAAGATCCTAAGTAAAAAGAAATGAAGTAATGGCATCAATGTTTTTCCAAAAATAACCTGCCATGTCTCCCCTAGGGAGGAATGGAAAGACTCATTCATCTAGTTGCACCCTGAAGTAGAGCAATATGGCAGGTGACAGGGAAAGAATACGGGATAATGAACAGTCTCAGGTATTGTGACCTGAATGATACTCACTCACTGTCAGCACACAAGTGGCTTTCCCCATGTATTCTGCCCCTCTGTAAGACAAGAAGCCTATGTGAAGGCAGTTGGGCCTTAATACAATAAATATAGTGAAATGCAAAGTCATTTAATGCCTTGTACTGAAACAGAGAGCAGAACGCAGGTTCCAGATAAGGTGCCATATCTTTGGGTGGCCTCCTGCCTAAGCTTTGTCATTGGGAGCTTTCCAAGGCCCCATGAACATTTGGATTTCTTTGTTTTTGACAAGGTTAAGTATGCAGCCATTTTAAACATATTATATCTGTTAAGGTGTTAAAAGTTTGGGTTTAGCAAGGGATTGGCATTTATCCTATGAAATTCTCACCTTACAACTTTTCACTGGAGGGTTCTGGCAGCAGAAGTTTCAGTTAAGTGTCTGTGTTTTTAATCTGGCGGGCTCAAAATAGGAGTTTTGAAAAAGTATAATGTTTTCTTTCTGAAATTCTAGGTGGTTTCTCTGGAATATTTTCCTATCCATGAACTATTGAGGGGAAAATAAAAATCAGGAATTCCTTCATTGCCTTAACCTGCACATATTGACTATGATCTCAAGCAGCCTTGGCATCTTCACACCATAACTGATGCTACTTAGACTTAGATGATAGTTGGAACTTTGAAATATTACTGTAATGCTATTATTTTCTACAATTCTTTTAAGCACTATTTAAATTGAGATGTAAAATTCTTACTTTAAGCCTCCAGCAGCCCATTCAGTGAGATAAGGTCACTTTGGGGCTGGGGAATATATTGAAAGACTGCAATCTTTTCTTTTATTTGACATGTTGAGCTTTTTTAAGATTTATTTTCACCAAACTTTTGATGAGTAGAAGGTACCCTGTATTCCCAAAATACAGGCTACCTTCCTGGAAAATCCATTGTATTTTAAGATTTAAGATCCAGTTCCATCATAGGTCTAAAATAAATGGTAAACAATGTGATAAAATGAAAAAGAATAAACCTTTCCTTATAACACCATTGATTTGACCTACAGGCCAATCTCTGTCTGTGAGTGAAGCTGAAAATTACAGGAAAGAGGTCTGTGTATCATAAGAGTCAGTCAGGCATTGATGTTAAACCAGGAGCAAAATAAGCAGAGGGGCTGCATCTGGGATGGAAATTATCTAAAACTAAGAAATTGTAGTGAGGAGCTCAAATAACAGCGCACCAACGCTGCAATTGCTGTAACCCTAAGCCTAACCCTGCTGGCACATTTACTCAGTCCTGTGCCTTGCAATCTTCTCTTCCTTCTCAGAAACACTTAACCTTGGTATTTTGCAATTCAGCCTTTACTATCATACGCTTAAGAGCCAGATCTATAAGATAGTCCTTTGCAAGGGAGGAGGAGAGAAAGCTGCAGCACACAGAATTATGTGTCAGAACACCGCCCTCTTTCCAGATAGGCACAGCCTGTCCACATCAGGGTTTGCTGAATATCTAGATGAGCTGAGCCTCTGGGTCAAAAATCTGCAAGCAGAGCCTGCCAGTCCCTATTTAACTGCATGGTGCAGCTATTCCTGCTCTGTGAGGAGAAATGGGTCCTTTCTCTAAAGTCACTAGATTGCAGCATTTCCTCAGTCATAAGAATAACAGGGGGAAAAAAAAAAACCCATACCCTGCATTTCCCCCAGCCTGCTTCCTTTACATTCCCCCAAGCAGAAGCCTGCCTGCACCAGGAGACTTGCTGGATCAGTAGAATTGGGAGTATTAGTATGGATGTTACTTCTGCAGTGGCCTCTCTGCCATTCTTAATCCTTCTCAGGTCACTAAAGGCAAAGTAAACAAATAAAAAACACAGAATCAGATAAGCTTAAAGTGTCCAGCTCTCTTACCAAACGTAACAAATGTTTGATCATGAAATCCTTTGTTGTGACAGCTCATAGGAATCCCAGGACATCCTCTCCCTACCAGGTATATAAGAACTGACATTGCAACATGCTCCAAGGTTATACACCCCCAGTTCTTGAATGAAAGTACAGCCAGCCTTCTGTATCCCTGGGGTCCACATTGATGAATTCGGACAAACATGGTTGAAAACATTTGAAGAAAAAAACTGTAACTGCACTGAATATGTAGATTTTTTCCCTAAAGATGTAGAATAACAACCCAATCATTTGCACAGCATTTACACCATGTTAGCTATTAAATGTAATCCATATGGGAAGATGTGCCAGGTTGCTTGCAAATGCTATGCCATTTTATATAAGGGAATTGTAATACTTACTTTTGCATAGCTGTGACCAAATACTTGACAGAAACCTCTTCACGGAGGAAAGAATTGTTTGGTTCAATCCATGATCACTTGGCCCCTTGTGCTCAACAGAACATCACAGTGGCAGGAACTTGTGGCAGAGGAGAACAGTTTACCTCAAGGCAGACAGGTGGCAGAAAGAGGGACTAAGAATACAAGATATAGTCAGGAGATATGTCCCCAGTGACTTACTTCCTCCAACTAGGCCTACCTCCTGCTTCTCACCATCTCCCAATCATGTCATCTTGATACAAGCCCCTCAAGGAATTATGCTTGTAATTATGCTGATAATACATAATATGCTGATTAAGTCAGAGCCCACAGAATTTAGTCGTTTCCCAAAATCCCATCAGCTGGCAACCGCACCCCCAATACATGGGAGGAGGGAGCATTTCATACTCACAACATAACAGGACTTAGCACCCACGGACTTTGGTGTTTGCAAAGGATCCTGAAATCAATCCTCAGCAAATACCAAAGAATGACTGTATTCTGTGGTTTCCAAGACCAGAATGATTCTCAGTTCTTCTAACACTTGCCTCCTTATCTTTTCCTGATGGGTTTGAGCCTCATCTGGCCCCTGTAGTAAATTACACAATCTCTTTCCTGTTTCCATATACTTTTAAAAGTTGTAAGTGATTTCAGAATAAGTGAAAATACCATCAGCATAAAAGAGAGAGAGAAAAAAAAAAGCCTGTATTTGTGTTGGAGTAACCTCAGCATATATGTGCTGTTTCAGAAGGTTTATAATATTTCAATATTTTGGATTTTGTGGATTTATAAATACTTTAATGATTTTTCAGCTCAGGGAACATGCAATCAGTGATTACAAGGGACATAATTGCCATTCGGGCCATTGCTACTTAAAATGCTGTTGCTTTATGTAGTGAAACTCAAAAAGTTCAAATACAAATGAGCATGCTGGGAAACAGTTTTGTTACAGAAAAGAGCAGTGAAAGATGACTATACTAATTTGGGGTAAGCAACCTAGGAGAACACCAAGTCACATTTATAAGGTCGTTTCCATGTAGGTACTAGTATATCTCCAGTACTCTACATCTGGAGAGAAGGAGGGAGGGGAGGAGGGAAGGAAGGAAAGGAGGGAGGGAGGATGGAAGGCAAGGAGGAATGAATGAAAGGAGGGAGGGAGGGAAGGAGAGAGGGAGAGAGGAAGGAAGGGAGCTTACTAGCAAATGGTGTTTTCCAGAAAATGGTTTATAAAGTTGAATAACTGACATTCATAAAAACAAGTGCTTAGAATAATAAAATATGTTTTGCTGAAAATCTTCCTGATCCAAGTCTGCCATTATTAGTAAAGAAAAGCTATTTTAGTGGAGTATTTTATATGTTAAAATGTCAGCATTAAAGCGGGAATTCATATTTTAAGTTTCACCAAAGAAACCATTTGCCTTGAATCAAAAAGGGTCTTTTA